TTTTTGTCTCCAATAGTCTCATTAGTCTTAAAACCCCTGTTAATTTATTTTAAAAAGTTTTCTGCCATTTTAGTTACTAAGTAAGATTTCGTAACAAGTCGCGCTTTGATCAATCTCAGAAACTTTCAAAAACGCCGAACTCAGATAAAATTATGGTTATTGTTGCTGTATGCTGGATGAATGGCAAATTCTTTTTTTGTAGGATGTTCACGCGAACAATCGTTTTGTTCACGGCTCAAGATTAAAAATTATGCAGCAAATTTTACATTTTGTCTCCAATAGTCTCATTAGTCTTAAAACACCTGTTAAGTTATTTAAAAAAATTTTCTGCCATTTTAATTACTAAGTAAATTTTCGTAACAAATCGCGCCTTGATCAATCTCAGAAACCTTCAAACACTCAGATAAAATTAGGGTTATTGTTGTTACAATAATTTCTACCAATACGAGGACAAATTGAGCACGAGATAGGCGCACAATTTGGCGTCTGTAAGTTGCTGGAGTCCAGAGACAAGTGTTGTGCAAAATTTACGTGGTTCGCACTTTTAAATTTTCTGTGGATTCCGCGTACAAATACCTGTAACATAAATTGTGTTGACACATTATTTTTTTGCGGATCCGCAACGAGCGAATATAGGTAGTTGTTCCGGATTCCGCAAATGTAAATTGATTCCTCAGATGTACGTTGAGTCCTAAATTTTTGCGGGTTCCGCTTACAATTTGTGGGCTGCGCTTACAGTTGCGGATTCCACGACTGCTTAAGTTTACTAAACTGATATGTTATGATTTGTTTGCGGATTCCAAAATCTGTTCCGCATTCTGCAGTTTTTGTTGCGGGTTCCACCAATTTTGTTGCAAACCGTGTAAAGTTGACTGTTTCGGTAGAATGCTGAGCAAAACAGTGTTTTACTTATTTGTTCGTGGAATCCAAAACAGCTAAGAACACCAAAAAATAACCAAAATGCGTATTCCATGACAATTATGTTTTTGGTGTGTTTTGATTTTACTGGTCATTATCAAGTAAAATGTTTCGACAAAACCTGTTTTTCTAATTTTTTAAGGAAATCAGCCTGAATCACTTTGATCATTTTTTCATTAAATCAAATTTACATTTTTTGTGTCGCTTTTGTGTCGTATTACTAAAAAGTACACGACAAAACTCTCAGTTAAAGTTCATTTTCCATGTTCAAATTTCCAATTGTTTATAGACTATTTTGTTGAGTGTTTTTTTTAAATATAATCCCATAATTTTTTTCCCTAAAGTACAAAAAAAAATTCCCGCACATAAAGTCGAGTACAAACAGAATTTGGAGCTTTTTAATTGCCTCAAATTTCCAAAAACATTAATGGAAGACAGAAATTTGTTTGTTTGGAAGTATCACAAATAGAATTATTTTCCTGTTATTTGAGGAGTTGGAACAAAAACTGAAAAACAAAGTATTTCATATCTAATGAGTTTTTATCTTTTTTTTTCCACAATTTTTTACACAAAATACAATACAAACACGAAAAACACACCGATATTAAGGGAAAAAATAGCAAACATTGAAAAGCAATAGAACTACCAAAATGCATAAAACATAGTTTTTGCCGTTCAAGTGCCATTACCAAAGAAAAAGTCTACGATAGTTCCATGGGCAAAAATTTAAGAAAAAACTGAAGTTTCGTCTTGAAGTGTTGGTAAACTCTGTAGACGTGGGAGTTTAAACTCTTCGTAAAATTGGTCTCGATAAATATTCTTTCTTAGCAAACATGCCACGCAAAACATTGAAAAAGAAATTAGCAGTTGAAATAAATTTACTGCTAATCTACTAATCAATTTACTTTATTGAAATAAATTTGTAGAAGTGGGAGCTCAAAATCTTCAAAAATTTGGTCACAATGAAGTTTTTTTTTAGGCAAACATGCCACGCAAAACATTAATTTTTAAATTAGCAATTGGAATAATTTAATGGAGCAAAAACGAAGCCTACTACCTCTGAGCAGACATCAGTTGAGTCGAAGATGAAGTAGTTTGTAAAAAAAGAAACTTAACCAACCTGAAACTACAATGAACAAATGTTGCAGCTACACTGAAATGTGCTCACAGCCAAAGGGCAATCTGTGATGTGGCAGCTAACCCGGCAAAACTTGTGCAGACAAATGAAAGTCAGACAATTCAAATTTTAAAGGAAAAAAATCAATTTCATATAAACTGAAAAAAGTAGCGAGGCTCCAACACCAGACCTTAAGGTGCAAAAGTACCTACTATCGTACCTATAGGCCAAGTGTGAACGAGACTTGAAGTCGTTAAGGTTCTTTACTAAAGCGAGTATGAAAAGTGAGCAAAATTTGTAAGAAAAGTTATTGAAGAGAAAAAGTCCCTGATTACATGACACTTGCTCTAGCAAGTGTAATAATAATTTTAACCGCACCAAACTGTTGCATGAAGCCATATTAGATCCAGATTGAGGTGAAGCATGAAGCCAAAAGAACGGCATTGTATCCAGGGTTGAGGTGTTCGAGTTATGCTTCGACCGACTAAGACCAAATTAGCTAGGTTTTGACCGACTCAAACCAAACTGGCTATGCTTCGACCGACTTAATCAAAGCAAAAATGTGTTCGACTATGTTCAGCCGTGTATGACTGCGTTTCAGCCAAGCGTGATATGTTTCCAACGCCGAGGCACAACCTGGCTATTTTACGACCTATTATTTTCAGAGTTTGTATAATTTAAAAAAGGCTGTTTTTGACCAAGGATTTTGGGTCGTACAGCCTTTGTGTATTCGAAGGATTTCGTTCTAGGCTTAAGAAGAACAACTCAACCCGGGGAGATTTGACAATGATTGCTTTTCACACATGCCAAAAAAGCATTTGAAATGAGTGCTTTTACTACACTGCTGATTTAAATTATCCGAAATTTCAAACACGTTTTTTTTTCAAATTGGGTTAAGATTAGACAAAAAGTGAAGAAAACAAAAATTGCTGAGAATTTGATTAGAATCAAAATGGTGTAATTAATTCTCCGAAATTCTCAACCAAAACTTTACATCAAAAATGGGTCATTTTGACTTTTTTCAGGCAATCAAAAATAACGCTGAAACTACTTTGTTAATTGATGAGAAATATATATCACAAGAAGCGTCTTACACAGCCCAACAAAATTCTAGAGAGTTAAATCTCTAAAAACCTATATAAGAGAAATCATTTTTGCTTGATTGTCAAGAAACATGATTTTTACTATATAATACCCAAAATCTTTGATTAAAAACCAATTTTAAAGACTTTACACTAATTTTTGAAGATTTAACCTTTGTAGAACTTTTTTGGGCTGTAAAAGAAGCTTCTTGTGATATAAATTCTCTATCAATTAACAAAGTAGTTTCAGCGTAATTCTTGATTGTCTAAAAAAACCCAAAATGACCTATTTTTGGGGTTAAATTATGTTTGAGAATTTCGGAGAAGAGATTGCACCATATTACTTCTGATGAAATTCAAAGCAACTTTTGTTTTCTTCATTTTTTGTCTAATCATAACCCAATTTGAGAAAAAGGTGTTTGAAATTTAAGTTTTATTCATTTATGTCGGCTAATTAAAATAAAAAGAGGAGCTATCGGCGACATAATAAAAAGAGCTACCAGTTATACGCTACTATTGGCTACATTGATAATACCGGCTTCATCCAGCCTTCTCAAAAACTGTTTTGATAACAAAAGCTTGTCCAATTCATATTACAGGTATTGCGCGTTAGCATTTCGTTGCAAAAGGTCAAATAGCAACTTTGAGACCTAACTATTCATGTCTAGCATTTAAGTTTCAAAATTACAAAAAATTAATTAAATTTCAAAAATAAAGGTATTGTTGTGATAAAAGTCAGTAATTTGCTGGTTTGTTTAAATAAACCAAATATTATTAAATTTTTCAAGACAACAATGCTTTAATTTTTGAAGTTTCAATATTTCATTTTAAAATATATGAAAGGCAGGAGATAAATAGTAAGGTTTCAGTTTGAAGTTTGACGGCTCCCCAGCTCCAGTCACACTGAAAATCTAGTCAACATCTTGAAGATTCACAAAGATTTATCAAAGATAGCAAAGAAAAATTAAAAATAATTCCGGCTTTTTTCAAGGTACCTAAGCTCCCAAACTACATGAAAACGACCTCAGAAACATTTGCGATCGCTCCGGCAGCTCAATAGAAGAATTTGATTTTTTTGTGCAATCTTGAAAGTATCTTCAAGATTTTTCGAAGATTAATTTTATGGTTTTGTGGTTTTTCTGCAGATCATTTTTATTAACTTGATCCTTTTTGGGTCGGCAGGGGTCGAATCCCTGAGAGGGAAGTTGTCCCCCCTGAATCCCCCATGTTTCACACGGTTCTCATGGTCTGAAACCGGATTTTCGTTGGTTCCCGCAGTCTGAATCTGAAATTTTGACGAGATCTTGTTCTGAACTGGTTTTACAGTCCCCACGATTGAAAATCAAGTTTTTTATCGGTCTGCACATTCTGAAACCGGATTTTTTTTGGTGCACAAGGTCTGAAATTGGATTGTTATTGCTCCCCAAAATCTGAAACCATTTTTTTTCTTCCCCGCTGTTTGAGCCCGGTTTTTTGTTCCCGCGGTCTGAAGTAAGAATTTGGTCGGTACCCACAATCTTGGCCCTAATTTTTTCTGGCCTTCACTGTCTGATTATAGCACAAATTTGTCACCATGGTCTAAAAGTACCAGTTTTTGGTTCAAATGGTCTAAACATTCTAAACTTCGGTCCACGCATTGCTGAAAAAACCAAGTTCTGGCGTAAACGGTCTGAATATAAAATCTGACCTCGACCTAGGTTAGAGCAGAAAAAAGGCCAGACTTAACCTTTTTTTTTTTTTCATTTTCTGTAAAACCCATAGATGGGTCATGAATAATTCCTGTTTCGCCGCATCAATTTGGGATATTTCAACTTGTTTTAACTAAAAGCCAACACTTATTTTAATCCAGATAGGTCTACGATATCTTGATGGATGGTTTTCAGGTGAACCAGGGCCAGATATTGCGGGTGATGTCGTGTCTGAGTGTCGTGGAGAGTGTGTTCTCAATGGTGCACAACTACGGCGCCTCCTCCTGGCACTCGCCGGCTAACATGGACGTCAACCAGTTCTGCTCCACCCTCAACCGAGTGCGCAGACACCCCTTCACATTCTATAAGTCCAGTGAGTCATCTTCGTTCACATAATTTTGACCTCAAGGCTTTCTCGCTTTCCGACCTCTAAAAAACTAACAGTCTCGAGAACAAAATTAGAATATTGATATTTTTTAGTGTCGACAGCCTACTTTTATTTACGTATGAAATTTGAACGAAAAAACACCTGGTTCATATCGATGTAATTGATCAAGTAAATTTAGATGGGGGTGATGGCGGATTTTCGAAAGTTTTTTCGATTTTTAGGTCGATCAAATTGGTTCTGTGAGTTCTCCCAAATCAACATAAAGACCCTAATTTGACCAAATATCAGCGCCGCAGGCAAACTTTTTGAAAGAAAAAACAGGCCAAATAACGTGTTTTCAGGCACATTTTAGAAACATTGCGCCTTTAGAAGCACATTTTAAATTACAGAACCAAAGGGGGGACCAAATAGGATTAAGGTGACGAATCGCTGAGGGAATTATATATCACGAGCAAGGAGTAGGTAAGAAACAGAAGTAAAAAATTCAATTTTAATGATCTTTTGTTTTTTTTCTTCTAACTAGTCTAAAAGTCTTCTTAAAAGTCAAACATTTCTGGGCAATACTATTTTGTCAGTTTTGTCAAATATTCTTCTAGTCGTGCTGTGTGGTCTATCTGTCACGGTGTCGATGGCGTCCATTCTGCTGGCTGTGAGGACCAAATTCAGCATAGAAGAAAAACCCCACCAATGGAAACATATCACGGCAATCACTTTCGAGAAAGAGTATTTCCCAAGACTAGTCAAACAGGTACAGTGAATAAATGTTAATTGTCATTCAATTCCATAGATAAACAGAAACCATTCAGTTCTTTACAAAGACAAAATTATTGTCACGCAGAACACAGATATTCACCGTTCATTTTACTATGAGGAAAAAAAATCATGCGTTTTAATTGCAATCGGACACTATGAACAAAATTTATAACAGAATGTTTCACAGATGGAGGAAATTCGAGAAGACGTCTCAGCATAGATTTAAATTGTCCCAGTTGACGGAATATTCGTCAAAAAATTCCCAAGAATTAGAGCCTAAATCTTGGGAATTAATTGCCTGACAAATAATTCGTTAACTCAGATAATCTAATTCTATGCAGTGAATTTCGTCCTCTTTTCATTCTCCTCCACCTGTGATACTTTTCTAATATAACTCTTGTTCATCATGTCGGATTGCTAATAAATCTGGCATTCTAACTAATTAGGCCATTGCAAACTTATTTGATTTTCATACTTCCTCTTGTAAAACCAAAATTTGTAACATAAAATAGATGCTTATGAGTGGTGGGTGGGTGAACTTTTTTTTATTTTACCTCGTGTAATATTTCAAAACCAAGCTAAAAAAATTCTGCAAGCATTTCTAATGACATTGATTGTACATATTTGAGCTAAATATCAAATTTATCTGTAAAAATGTCACTAGACCCATAACTTAAAAAAGAACCTGAAGCGCACCAATGATGGGTAAAATCTAGAAACTAAAAATTTTTTGTATGATGCAGCAAACCTGTACCATAACAAAGGTTTCGATTCAAGATTTTAAAACCATTCAATGTCGGCACTTTCTTCTAATTTTATGTTTTTTTTTTGCAGCTGTCTGTCCACATGGTGACGTGCATGTGGATCTGTTTGCACATAATGGCGTACTTCAACGACAGTCTCTACCAGATGTTCTACCAGAACATATTCATATTCGCAGGCGCCAGAATCATCATAGGAACTGCAATCAATCTCAACCAAATCACACTCTGATCTCATTCCCTCTGATGCTCTCACCCATTTTTGATTTAAAATGCGCGACGTTTTGATTTTACATATATCTCAATGAGGTTTGCATATATGCCCGCACTGACAAAAATGGATTAGGATCGATTTTAGCATGAAAAAAGTACGTTGATTAAATTTAGATCGATTTTAGTATGAAAAAAGTACGAAGATTAAATAAAAAAGATGAAGATTGATTTCGATCGATTTAAAATCGATTTAAATTGATCTAAAATCCCAGCTAAAAAAATTGATCCAATGACTATTTCTACAGAACTTGAAAATTTAATTTGCTTTTGTCCCACGGCTTCTACCCGAATTTTATCTCACTGTCAAACAAACATCAAATCTGAGTTTTCTTGACAAATTTTTGGCTTACATTTGACATACCTGACTGACTATTCGAAAAAGGATTTTGATTAAGCTGAATGTAATGCAAGTTGTCAAATAGTTTAATGGAAATATTTGATTATAAATCGTAATGGTGTAGTAGAAAGTTGAACAAATTTGGGTTCATCTTATATATTGCTAATATCAAAGTCTGGATCTTTTCTTTGTTCAGTTATAAAATCCCCCCCCCCCCCCCCCTCCCTTCCCACCCCCTAAATGATGAAAACTGAAAATGAAAGATTTTAATAAACAGTTGGACTAATTTTACTACTTGAAAATGCCGGGCTGATATTTCGAGCGTTAAATCAAGCTAGAAAATGGTAAATAAAAGGCAAATTAAACGTCAATACGAATGCATTCGGCATTCTTTTTGTTCAAATTTATGAGAAAAAACGGCAAAAAAAGTTGAGAAAAAGCCAGTTTTGAGGGTAAATTTATTTATAAAAATATTTCGTTTTGACCTGTCTCATTTTAATATCTTGCATTTTCTAGTAATATTGATCCAATCTTGTAACAAAACTTTCAATTTCAATTTCATCATTTAGGGGGTATAACGAAAAGAACACAAAGTACTGATACTGACTTTTAAACTTCAAAGTGCAGTTGATCGCATGCTAAAAATTGGCGTGAATTGCTGTTGTATTTATAAACTGGTCTTAATGTATTCTATTGATAGTTTTGGTTCTCCTTTTGGCAAAAAATGACCTTTTTGCATATCATAGATTTTAAACAGAAATTTAATATACATTTGCTTCACTTAAAAAATTTAATGATTTATTTTGGTGTTTTTGCTTTCATTACCGAAGAAAAAATAATCACTTTCACATCGGATAGTGGAAACTTTGCAGAAGAATTGCCGATGCAGATTGATGTCTGCTGCATAATTTGAACATCTCGGCTGGTTTATAACGTAGCTTAGTTATTATTCCGGGCGATATTCAAATAATATTCGTGCTATTTTTTACTGATTTTTTCCGCTTTGCTTGTCGTCTTTGTAGCTTGTTTTCCAAGCTATTGATGTTGGTCATGTTGTGATCCTCAACAACCGGACCAAAAACAGCTCAATAAGAGTTCGAAAGCAAGGCAATTGTTTTAAATAACACTAGGATCAATTTAAACCCATATAGTTTCATCAAATTTTAGAAGAACAATTTTTGAGAAAATTATTTTTCGAAGATCTTGTATTCAAAAAAATTCTCAAATTTATTTTTTTTCTCAAAAATTTTGCTTCAAAACACCCTTTAGCCGCTTGAGCCTTTTCTGATATCTTTTAATGTTTTAAGGCGGTCTTTTAGTAATGATCGAAGCGTAGTAAAAAAAATTGGACCTGAGACATCAATTTGAAAGCGTCTTGTCAACATCATCAGTTTCGCAAAGCTAGTTTTCAGAGCTTAAAAAACGTTACAACAAAAAAACTAGATTGAATCATGTGAACCATTTTTTCCACTGATACTTTTCGAAAGGGTAGGTGTGTTTTTTCGCGCGATATTAAGCGTCAGAAATATATCTATGCTTGTATGCTGTCTATTGAAGCATCTGATGCCACACAGAAAAATGGGAGGGTCGAGATTCTGATGGTTGATACTGAAAGTGAAAGATGGTTATGAAAAAACTCCAAATAGGTTTTCGCAGTGCCAAGGATGTAACCTAAACAGGTTAAAACGCACTTAAATGCACTTAAATAAGGGTAATTATTGAGGTTAAGCCAAATTACCATATCAATAAGTGAGAGAAAGGACCATTAATTAATTGCCATTTTTGCACTACAGAACAAGCAATTTAAATAGCCAGCGCATTCCACGGTGGGTATTTACAAGTACCGAAAAGAAAACTTAAGTCCTTTTTGTAAAACTAAAAATAAAATCAAACAAGACTGCTCGTATCAGGGCGAAGCCCTGAATGTTCCGACTGCCTTTAAAGGTTATGGAGCAGTAATAACATAAACAACATAAAAAAATTAAATGAAATAAAATAAAATGAACATTTTTACTTTCTAAAATTCAAAATTTTTCTATGAAAATCATCCCCCCACACGCCATATAAAGTACAAAACAAAAAATTTTGCTTCTAGTAACATATCAATTAAGGCAAATTAGCTTCTTTCAACCAATTTGGAACAATTTCTAAGACGGAGTGAATCTCCGCTTACGTGTTAATAGTGGAACCAGACCCAAACTATAATTTAGAGTTGGTTATAATTTAGATATTTTATCCCTATAAAATATTAAAGACTAACCAATCACACTCCATCAAACTAACAACCCACTTATTTGTAAGAGCTGAACTTACTTGTAATTTCAGCACCAGAGCGATTTGAATTTAACTTACAACTTAGTTGCTTTCTCCAAGAGACCGACTCGTAACAAAACCAGTATACTCTAGATCTATTGGGACTAAGAGATATAAGAGTAAGATTAAGATCGGTATTAGACTAAGAAGTTGCACGAACAAGACTTTAAAAACAAATTAGCTTAGAACTAACCTAATAGATTAGAATTAGACAAAAAACATTTTCAAAAATGTTACATGACAACAATTTAATGAGCCATTATTCCGAACAATACGAGAACTACCCGGTATTGGGAAAAAACCTCGGACAAGAGACGATATACGACTACAAAGGAACTTACCATTAAGTTTCATGATCGTACGGCAAAAGCAAACACAAACTTTTATATTTAGAATTTTATTAGCATTGAATTTAGACTTTCATTTGCAAACATAGTATCTTTGAAGAAAAGTCTTCAAAGACAATTACAGGCGCTAAATTTATTATTGTACAATAAAGACTGATGAAAACATCTCTAATCGTTCTCTTCAAAAATCTGCAGTAAATTTGAAAAAATATATCTGAAAAAAAATATTTATTGAAAATAAAATTAAAAAATTTATTTAGTATGCATACAAATTGTTAATATATATAAATCATCTCTTCATCCCTGCTTCATCACCTAAAACATAACAGCGAATCATAAGTCTACTAACATCATCAAAAACTAATATCACTAAAATTTTCTATCAACTAAACATTAACTTAATTTATAAAGGCCTATCCTAATTCTTACTTTTTATTTAAATTAAACTTATTTAATATCAACAGATCATAAAGGCTTTCCTTGGATCTTTAATTCATTTTCATCTAAAACAAATTTAATTTCATTAATTTTATATCCTGATCATCAAGGCTTATCCTTGGATCAAATAGAACAATTTTGTTCTCCCCCTCACAATTAATAAAATTTCTAACGACCTCAAACGTCGATTCACTACCCAACCCTTCCTCAAGACCCAGGACTAATAGAAATTTTTCAATCAAATTAACCATTCTAATTAGAATAAACAGTAAAGAACATCGGTTATTCATCCTTCACTGGACCCCCCTCTTACCTGACCCAGGATAATACTTAAACTTAGTAAGTTTGAAATAGTATCTAACGAACTATTTGTATTCTAATTGTACCTGAACCTTGTGGATCAATTTACTATTCTCCAACCCTTGATCACAATCACTACCCCTAGGTAAGATTAAGTAAGTTAACACCTTAAATTAGACTAGCCACGAGAAAGTAAAAATCATTATCAGGAATTGATATATACTTTTCTCTCCAACCCTGAATACATGACCCAAGTTAGGCTAACCACAAAAAACCGTAAGACATTAAAAATCAGTAATCCCAATAATGCATCCGTCATCCTAAACCTTATGTCACTAAATAATTTAGGAAATAAACAAACAATCATATTACACAATTGTGAAATAAACAACGAAAAATATGATCTCGTAGTCACTCCACACAAACAAACAATAGAATATATTAGAACAAAACGACACACAATTACAAGGAAAATTTTGAGCAAACAAAGACAAATTACACGAAAAAGATTCTCAAAGCGAAGAAACGCAGTCTCCGAATCAGAAACCAGTAACTTAGAAGCACTTTACAAGTTAATAGACTCCATAAATAAAAAATTATCAAGTTAATGATATGTTATTTTTTTCTGACTCAGAAACCACATCACAATCATCAATACAAGGAAAACGAAGAATAAAAAAGAGATACAAAAACAAACCAGTACGTCTATACAATTGGAATCAACCAATAAAACACATTGAAAACTATACAATAACAATCATAAAACACAAAAACGGATCAAAATGAAGAAAGCCAAGACGAAAACTCCATTCTTCCCTTTTTAATCAACCCACTCACTGAAGATAGAGGACAAACACAATTTTGTCAAAATTTAATCGCAAAATCATTCGAAAAAGGAATTAGTCCATGTACAGCAGAACTTCCAGAAGTAAAATTCAAAAGACAAATTATTGATTACTATTTAAGTGGAATATGTAATATAACACAGCAGTACGGAATCTATACCATAGAAATCAAATCACAAAGTACGTTTCATGGTAGATATCTACTTCAAACAAACGACGTAGATATATACGTTTCAAAAGTATTCACAGAATACACAAAAAAATACAACATCAAAACTCACAAAGAGCGAATTCAATATTCATTAACAATGTATTTTCAATATCTTATAGTTATCTATCGATACTAGAAAAAAGCAGATCCTCAAGGAACTTCACCAGTTCAAACATCTAGACATACAGCTGTAAGACATAAAATTGCAAAACTCTCCGAATTTCTAAACGCAATCCGTGAAAATTTAACCAGCAACGAAGTTTCGCAGAATGTTAAAC